GGGGGGGGGGGCGGCAGGGCTGGCCATGGCACCCCCCACCCGGCTGGCACCCGGGGCGGACCGCCCCCTCCGCCCCCCCCTTAGTACGCCACTGCTTACAGACACACAGTTATTGTCACACACACACTGTTTAACCAACACACACGTTCAATGAAACATACACATTCACAGACATACACACTCACTCATTCACAGTTAAAAACACACACTCACATTCATACAAGACACATATGCAAACTCACTGACAGACACACACACTGGGACACACATATACTTACTGACAGATACACACTGACAAACACACATATACACTCACTGACAGGCATATATACACTCAGTGTCAGACACACACATTCACTGACAGACACAGATACACACATTGACACACGCATACACACACTGATAGACACGCATACACACTCACTGACAAACACATATACACACTCAATGACAAACACACATACACACTCACTGACAAACAAACACATATAAACTCCCAGTGACATACACACACACACTCACTCACTAACAGGCACACACATACTCTAAAAGGCACACACACTCTCTAACAGACACACACTAACAGACACACACACACACTCTCACTAACTGACACACTAACACACACACAATTTTTTTTTTGCTTACATTTTGGATTTTTCCCTGTAGTCCAGTGGGGCTGCTGCTGGCTGGGCTGGCAGGCGGTCAGGGAGACAGGAGCAGAGTTTAGTCGGGCGGCGAGGGAGCTCTGATCCTCCTGCTCAGCTACCTCGCGCGCCTCAGGGGGTGCCTGAGTTTTGCCATGCCTAGGGCAGCACAAAACCAGAATACACCACTGCACACAGAGACTGCCAAATACCGACAGACTACTAAATACACACACACACACACACAGACTGCTAAATACAAACAGACACATGGGAGTAATTCACCCATTCACACATTAGACCCATACTGCCCTTCACTCTGTCATTCACTACATCCACACTGAACTTCACTCTCTCATTACACCCATACGGCCCTTCTCTCTCACTCACTACATGCATATTGCTCTTTTCTTTTCCTTTCTTCCTTTTCACTCACTCATTACCTCCATGTTGTCTTTCCTATTCAATCTGGTTTTCAAGAAAATCTTTTTTCGTAAAAAATGCTGTATGCTTTTATGCACCAATCAAGTGCTTTAGAGTGTCACCTACTTGTGTTACTACGTATTAGAAAGGTCCGGGAGGGACATTGGCTGGTTATGTCAAACATGTTTGATAGGATCCAGATCAGCTCTCTGTTCAGGCCATTATAGTTCATCTCTCCACCATTAGTGTTTAATAAACATTTCTCTTTTACCTTGTTTTTTTTTCCTATGGTTAGGTACCTTTGATGACCCAAAACAAAAGGATTGTTTTCCTGAATTTTTTGGGGGGACCTTTGATTGCATGGATGACATCTAATTTTGACTTTTTTTTAAAGGGATACTATAAGCATTAAACCAACTTTATCTTAATGAAGCAGTTATGGTGTATAGATCAGGCTCCTGCAATCTCACTGCTCAATTCACCGTCATTTAGGAGTTAAATCATTTTGTTTCTGTTTGTGCAGCTCTAGCCACACCTCCCCTGGCTGTGACTCACACAGCCTGTATTAAAAAAAAATGTTTTATTTTCAATCAAAAGTTAAAGGAACACTATAGTCACCAAAACAACTTTCGCTTAATGAAGCAGTTTTGGTGTACAGATCATGCCCCTGCAGCCTCACTGCTCAATCTGCCATTTAGGAGTTAAATTACATAGTTTTTGCATGTGGCACACCACTCTGCATGTGACTAACACAGCCGTCCTAAACCCTTCCTGTAAAGTGATATCTAATGTTTACACTTCCTTCATTGCAAATTATGTTTAATTTAGAATCTCTTATCTTCTGCTCTGTTAATAGCTTGCTAGACCATGCAGGAGCCTCTTGTGTGTGATTAAAGTTCAATTTACAGAGCAGGAAATGAAAACATTTAAAGTAGGTTAACATCTGATTGAAAATTAAACCACTTTGTTTTCATGCTGGTTGTGTCAGTCACAGCCAGGAGAGGTGTGGCTAGGGCTGCATAAACAGAAACAAAAGGGATTTAACTGCTAAATAGCAGTGAAATAAGCACTGAGGCATGATCAATACACAAAAACTGCTTGTTTTGGTAACTATTATGCCCCTTTAACTTGCTTTAGAAGTTTGTATCTCCTGCTATGTAAATTGAACTTTAAAGGACCACTATAGTGCCAGGAAAACATACTCGTTTTCCTGGCACTATAGTGCCCTGAGGGTGCCCCCACCCTCAGGGACCCTCTCCCGCCCGGCTCTGGAAGGGGGAAAGGGGTAAAAACGTACCTTTTTCCAGCCCTGGGCGGGGAGCTCTCCTCCTCCGATCCTCCCATTTGGCTGAATACACACGCGCGGCAAGAGCTGCGTGCGCATTCAGCCAGTCGCATAGGAAAGCATTATCAATGCTTTCCTATGGATGCTTGTGTGGTCTCACTGTGATTTTCACAGTGAGAAGCACGCAAGCGCCTCTAGCGGCTGTCAATGAGACAGCCGCTAGAGGAATTGGGGGAAGGCTTAACCCATTCATAAACATAGCAGTTTCTCTGAAACTGCTATGTTTATAAAAGAATGGGTTAAGCCTAGCTGGACCTGGCACCCAGACCACTTCATTAAGCTGAAGTGGTCTGGGTGCCTAGAGTGGTCCTTTAATCACAGTGGGAGATAAGAAATTCTAGATTAAACAGACTGTGCAATAAAGGAACCTAACATATCTAGGTTACTTTTCAGGAAGTGCTTAGGAAGCCATGATCTATACATCTAAACTGATTCATGAAGCTAAAGTTGTTTTGGTGCCTATAGTGCCATTTTATTGTACTTACAGCAGAAATGATCCTGTATAAACAGAATCTTATCCAAAATCGGGGCTGTCACACCACATCTGGAATAGCTGGTAGGTATAAGTAGCGTGATATATGTTGCCATGTATTCTAGGGCTCCTCTCCCTTCCCTTTTTGTACACCATCACACTGCCTATTTTCCACCTGCAGATGGAGCTATGACATTACGTTCCAATAAAGTCAGTCACTCTGGGTGTTCAAAGCAATGATTGCAAGCTTACTGCAAGATACCACTTTGATAATTTTGCATTTTCATAGTACAATAGACTCCGCATGTCCCGGCCTTTCAAGCGTGGCGTTTTAAGTCTTGATGTACTGTATCATTTGCCAGTACTGGATAATCTCTTCTTTTATGCTTTTCAGTCTAGGTTTAACTGTGTGTAAATTATTAGACAATCCAGAGATTATTCAGAAGTGAAGATACA